CAAACTTCTTACCCCTAAAAGACTATCTGTCTCAGTGTCTCCCTTGAGTTCCACATCTAAGACATTTCAAAGACAACCCCAGAGTCATGTGCTCAAGAAGAACCTTGTGACAGCAGGCTCATGGGTCAACTGTTGAAGGGGTAAATTAGCACAAACTTTGTGTTTGGGTGACCAGTGATACCCTGTCCCTTGTGAGCACTTATTACATTCTCCTATTCTGCCATACTCTGAAGCTGGGATGACAGGTATGTACTGTACACTTGCTTTATGGGGTGGTAAAGCTCGAACCCAGGCTTTCATGTATGCTAGGGCAGACATCCAGCCAACTTAGCTACACGCTATAGTCTCTATAATTCATATTAGTTGTTATGATTTATGATGCGGGGTGACCCTAGTAGGTCCCACTGTGGGTGGGAGAGGCCGTGGTGGGTGGGAGACAGATATACCATGTGGAGAGAGTTTAGGCCTAGAGTGATATTAGAGGGAGGTTATGGAGGTGAGAGAGAAAGAGAGAAAAAAAGAGGTAGAGGGACAAAGAGAGAGAGGGGAAATGGGGGAGGCAGAGGTTGTCTCTTTAGAAGAAGAACGGACAGAGAGAGAGAGAAAAAAAAGGAAGAGAGGAGGCAGAAGATCTGAAGAGATCCAGCTTGCCTTGGCAGGAAGGGGGAGATTGGGAGTGGGCAGAGCTTGTCCTTTAAAGGGACAAGGTCAGGGTACCCAAGTGACGGGGCAGGCCAGTTAAAACATTAGCCCCTTGCTAACTTTCCAAATGTATTCTTCCTAGACCTGGATTATCAGTTATGTTTATATTCCGATGAAGAAAACAACCAAATGTGCCTCCTTCTACCTAGAGAATATATATATATATATATATATATATATATATATATATATATATTATCACAGTCTCTCAGGGGCTTCTTTCCCTGAATAGGGCTGTGATACAGTAATCACTCGCTTTTAGGTGACACTCCACACATTTCAAGTCTATCTATTAACTAGCTGGATGCTTTTTCTCCCTGCTGTAAAGTGGCTCTCCGTGGATCTGGGAAGTCTGCTGATGGGTATGCCATGGAAGCATACGGGTAAATTCCACGTGGATGAACTACTTTATATACAACTCACTGGTACCTTTGAGTCCTTGGTTTTTCTTATTAATTGTTACATTTAACACAGAAATAGCATTGTAGAATCCATTTATTTTTATTTATTTTGAGAAAGGCTTGTACAGAGCATCCCAGGCAGTACTGGGGAGGCAGAAGCAGGTGTGTCTCTGTGAGTCCAAGGCCAGCCTGGTCTACAAAGTGAGTGCCACAACAGGCTCTGAAGCTGCACAGAGAAACCCTGTCTCAAAACACCACCCCCCAAAACAAACAAAACAAACAGATCATCCCAGGCTAGCCCTGAACTCCATAGTGGAGGATGACTTTAAATCTATGATCCTCCCGCCTCTGCCACCTGAGTGCTTGAATTACAGGATTGTACTATACCACACCTGTTTTACTTGGTGTTGACTTTGTGTAAAAAGAGTTAAGATTACAGCTGAGCTCCCTTTACAGCTGCCGGCTATGAGAAAGCTGACCGGTTTATTTTGTGTGGCCCTTATCGTTTACTCAAGGAATGCATTATGACCTGAGAAACAGCTTTTGTAACCTTCTTTATCGCCTAAAGTTTTTTGTTGAATGCATATATAAGCTGTGTAAACATAGAATCGAGGGAGAATTGGAGCTGGAAAGGCACATGACCCTCAGATCTCGTGTGTGAGTCCTTTTCCCTGATACATAGAAAAGTGTTTACGTCCTGCTACACTGAAGGTATCCTTACTGCAACCCTGGTGCAGTTCTGGGAGCTGGTCTCTTAGGCTGCAATATTTTATGAATCCAAAGGAGAAGGAGAACTGGCACATTTGCCTTAGTTTTGATAGTAAAGAAAAAGCACGGAGACATTCAGCTTTATTTGTAGCTTCTCCTTATCGGGCTGGAGGGGTCCTGCTGTTTACAGTTTGCTGACAGTTATTACTGAATGGATATTGGACACAGTCTTGTGTTTTCCCCACACCACCTGTCACAATCACGTGTTTTTGCCTTATCAAATTTTCAGATAACATTAGTTGACTTTCAAATATTGAACCAATTTTGCATTGGTGAAATAAACTATACCAGGTTGTAGTGTGTCTTGCTTTCAAATATTTGTGGGTATACTAATATACAGTACATTTTGATCTTTAGCTTTGTGGGTATGTGTGTGTATGCACACTCGTGTGCATGAATGCATGTCATAGCTTACACATCTGCAGGTTAGGGAGCAAAACATGGACGTGGACTCTTCAGACCTGGCAGTAGATGCTTTTGCCTTGTGAGATACCTTGCCAGCCTTCACCTTGTTTTTTTGAAACAGGGTCTGTCACTGAACCTGGAACTTTCTAAAAGACAAGAGTGGCTGGCCAGTGATCTTTAAGGATCTGGTGATCTCTGTACCTCCAGGCTCTGGGATTATAGGCTGCCTTTGCGCCTGGGTGTTTTTGTTGTTGTTAATATGGGTGCTGGGGGATCAAATTCATCCCCATTCCTTTGTGAGATATTTTACCAGCTAAGCTACATCCCAGCTGAAGTCAATTTGCCTTCAACAGGTCTCTATGGAGAAAAGAATACTGAAAATTATAGAAAAGGTTAACAGATCTTGAATTTTAAAAATAGAAGTGACTTAACTTCTATTTTTCTTTATTTACCCAATGAAAACAGCCTTAGGCTATGGGAAGCTGGACGTAATCACCACTATTCATAATGTGGCATTGTTATTGTCCAACTCTAATGACAAAAGCTAGTAAGACTTCTGGATCTTCAAAGACAGAGTAGCCCAGCTCCTCAGTGCTCCGTACAAATAAAAGATCCTGGAAAGTAAACCATAAACACAGGACCCTGAAGTCATATATGGAAGGACCATCCAGAGACCTCCTGAATCGATGAAAATGGAGGTGAGAGCAGGGACTGAACTGCCTGGGTTTCTGCATGCCTTTGACGTGAGGCAGAGAGGGCACTGCAGAAGCCTTCCCTTTGGCAGAAGCAAGCAACGCCCCCCCCCCCCCCCACTTCTCTAGTCAAACGGTGTTAGCAAAGTTGAGTGGCATTGATCTTTCCACTTTGGAAGAAGGGAACATGGAATCTGAATTTGCAAGGTTGTGTTGAAGGAGTTGAGGTTCTGTTCCCTGTCTGAAGCAGGCAGGACTTGGATTTTCCACCAGGGCAGCATTAGTGGTCAGTTGAGCCTCTGTCCCCACCCAACATTAATTTATACCGATAGGCAGTATAAGGTGAAGCTAGCTTCAAATTAGGCTTCTCTCCTCCAACTCTGGCTGTCAAGACAATCTGGGAAGCTCGTTAAGTTGGGAGCATAGCCCCCAGCCCCCAGGCCTGGGAGTTGTATTGGTATGGACTCCAAATCCTACCATGCAGGTCCTGACCTCTCCCTGGGGTGGGGGTTTCAGGACCATTCCCACAGGGCCACAGGGCCACAGGGCCACAGGGCCACAGGGCCACAGG